TTCTTTCAGATCATCTTTCCCTCCTCCTCCTCCTCCTCCTCCTCCTCCTCCTCCTCCTCTTTTCCCTTATCAAAACTTCCATATTTTGGAGCTAATTGATCCCATTTTCCTCATAGATCCATTTCTCAGAAACCACACGCGCTTTGAGCATCCACATCGGTCCAAAAACCTGCTCTCTCTGAAATATACCCTAGCATTACTTTATTTCCACACCGAGTNCCAGAAACTTGAAGGTCAAACAGAATTGCTGAGAACGTCCCCATCAAGGGCTTTTATGACCAAGAAATATCTTATCTTATTAAAGATAACCAGCAGGGGGCCTCTTGTGTCAACCTCAGGTCAACAGACTTTCCTAGAGCGTATCTCGCCCATCCTTTGCTTCTACTGCTCAGTCACCCTCTCTCGGGGTCTTCTCCACAGTTCAGGTTAGGCTCCCCCTATTCCATCCACATGCTACCTATGGTCCTTGGCCCCCAATAGGTTGTGTGTCCATTAATTAGCCAATTCTCTTCAGTTCTGTTTTTTTTTTTTTTCCTTAATCACTGCACTCGGTTTCACTAATGTGAAAGAAGAACCTGTTTTCCAAAGCTCCAGAAGGCAGGACAAGAAGCAACGGATGGAAACTAAATCAAGGAGAGAAGCAACCTAGAACTGAGGAGGAATTTCCTGACAGTGAGAACAATTAAAACCAGTGGAACAGCTTGCCTCCAGAAGTCGTGGATGCTTCATCACTGGAGGTTTTTAAGAAGAGACTGGACAACCCTTTGTCTGAAATGGTTATAGGGTTTCCTGCTTGAGTAGGGGGTTGGACTAGATGACCTCCAAGGCCCCTTCCAACTCTGTTGTTCTGTTCTGTTGATGTATTGTACTCGTTTTGCACAGTTCTAGAGCTTCAAAGGACTGCCTTCTTCCCAGACAGTTAACAGAGTAACAGAGTTGGAAGGGACCTTGGAGGTCTTCTAGTCCAACCCTCTGCTCAAGCAGAAAATCCTGTTCCATTTAAGACAAATTGTTAATCTCTTCTTAAAAACCTCCAGTGTTGGAGCAACCAAAACTTCTGGAGGCAAGTCGTTCTAGTTCTTTCAGATCATCTTTCCCTCCTCCTCCTCCTCCTCCTCCTCCTCCTCCTCCTCCTCCTCCTCCTCCTCCTCTTTTCCCTTATCAAAACTTCCATATTTTGGAGCTAATTGATCCCATTTTCCTCATAGATCCATTTCTCAGAAACCACACGCGCTTTGAGCATCCACATCGGTCCAAAAACCTGCTCTCTCTGAAATATACCCTAGCATTACTTTATTTCCACACCGAGTGACACACTGTCAACCTCTTGATCCTGGACCCCTGGAAAACAAGCACTGATGAAAGCTCATCATGTTTTCTTTCTTTTTTTAACACTCCAAAGGGTTTTATTTTATAAAAAGAAGTGGAGTAACCGGTTACGTTGGCCCCCAGGCGATCCATTGCTATTTCAAGATACAGCTGGTGTGTGTCTGAATATACAAAGATGGCTTTTCAAGGAAGATGAGCAGAGTTGAAAATACTCCCCCTCAAACAGATGCCCAGTTATTTGTCTGGAGTAAATAGTCTTTAAATATTGACTCTTGTCCGCCAAGCTTTTTCACCAGAAAGAGAACTGGCCAAGTCAGCAGGTATCTGGAACCTCAAAACAGAACTGATATGCGCCTCACAATTATTGGGGAGATTAAGGCTTCCAAACAATGTCTCACAAAGGGGCAGGATGAGGCCATTTGTGGGACGTGGCCATCTTAGCCAAGTGGAAATCGGAAATCGCATAATGTTAGCTGGGAGCTGAGGGACTTGTCATCACACATCTGAATGTCTGTGGAGATTCTCAGTCATCCAGGTCATAATTGTCTCAAAGGTGTTTGTTCAAAAGGCAACTGGGTTCTTTTTTTTTTTCCTTGAGGAAGAAAAAAAAAAGACGTTTTGCTTCTCATCCAAGATCGGTCTTCTTCTTCTTCTTCGTTGTCCTCAAGGAAAAAAACAGTCCAGTTGCCTTTGGAAAAAGCACCTTTGAGAATGACTTGACTGAAGTTCTTTTGGTTTCCTTCAAAACCATCACTAATCGCAGCTGTTGAACTTCTGTGAGGTGGCACGTTGCCATTTTCACACGGAGGGCTCACAACTAGGCTTCAGGCTATTTCTGAAGACACAGAAAGAACCTCCATCTTCGTCTCACTTCTGGCAGAAAGTTCTCACGCTGTTCGGGTGCACAACATGAACCGTGCCCGGTTTATCTCTCCGCTGCCTTCACCCTTCCAAAAATAAGAGGCCACAGGTCATAAAAGAAACTTATCCAGCTCCGTTTTAAAGGAAGATTATTCCTTTCATTTGAGCCTTTTGCTTCTTCTTCAACGCACAGCATGCCCGCATTTATGGAATCTAAACCAGGAATTGTGGATAAAGGGTCTCTCGTCACACAGGGTATTTTTTTTGAAACTTGTGAATTAAAAATACCATATTAATACCACCCTTGAGTTTGCCTTTGTTTTAAGGCTGGCTGCAGCAGAATCTCACAGATAGGGACTTTTCAGTAAAGGTCTTGTAGCTTCAGAATTCCTCTTTGATGCTAACTGTTACTATAGTAGTACTAGTAGCAACAGCAGCAGCAGTAGTAATAGTTATTAAAGTTATGTGTTGCCCAACTTTTAGTGACTCTGGACAGTTAACATTTTCTTTTAAAAAAATTTAAAAAGTGAAGAGTAAACATAGCAAGACTGGGTGGAAAAGGAAAACAACCTACACAGCCTAAAGGAGGATCCACTGTCCCTCACCAAGTTTCTTCACAACTCTTCTAAACAACAACTGAGTGGGAGTCTCTTAAATCTTGGAGGGGGCTCATTTCAGAGGGCAGGGCCTGCCACAGAAAAATTTCCCAATAAATGGCATTATTTAATCAAAGAAACCCCATGAACGCCATTATCAACTGTGGCAGATCAAATCAGCCAGACAGACACTATGGGAGACAGGTGGTTATTCAAGCATGCCATGTACAGTATGTTTGGGACACTCATTTAAAAAAGAAAAAAAGTTGAAAATGCTTTTTGATTTTCATCCGCATTTCATCTTTCCCATTCTGGTTATTGATTCAGACACCTTCCTGTGATTATTTGAAAAGGATAAAGTGGAATTCCTTTCAACCCTGTTTTTTTTTTTAATCAATGGAGATGAAATTATGGAAATATCTGGTTTATTTGTAGCTGGAATTTGAAGAACGTGCTTAAGAAATAGGGTAAAAGTCCAAGAATGTACATTTGAGAGATGTGTGTCGTGTTCTTTGAGAAATCTTAAAGCAAAGCATATCAGTCACCAGGATCAAAAAAAAAAAAAAACCCACCAAAAACCGAGAGGGAGAATTACATGCAATGGACAATTTGAGAAGAACATAGAATAATAAGAGTTGGAAGGGACCTTGTAGGTCTTCCCCAAGATGAAGTCTTGTAGAGGATCAACGAAAAAGGGCAAGGATGAAGCTGATTTCTGTCTTCTATTTCTAATGCCGAGAGTCCTACAAGACTTTTTATTATTACTTCTAAGAGGTTACTATGCACCAGCAAAGAACATAGGAAAAAGTTAAGTTCTGAATAATACAACCAACACAAGAAAATATGACAAAGAGCAAACTCCCCCATCCCTCGCCCCCCCCTCCCCGTTCCAAACAAATGATGAAGAAGAACTGGAGACCTTATTACATTTCATGACATCCCTACCCATTTTCCAGAAATCTTGGCTACCCCAACTGAAATCGTCAAGATGAAAATCTTGGCTTCCGTTCCTCCTTGAAAGCAACTTTGGGGATTGATGCCAGCAATGTACGCAGGAGAGGGGAAAGGATGCTTCCATTCTCCTCTGATTTGGAAATTTCTCTTGGGCAGATCGTTTTCCACCTGGAGCTGGGAGGAACCACGTCCCAACCTCCCACCACGAGTGGTTTTAAAGCAGAATAGAATCCGTGCAAAAAAAAAAAAAGAGAGAGAGAGAGAGAGAGAGGAAAATTGGGAGGACCGTTTTTCCCATGTGGAAATTCACGATAAATCAAGGAGTGCAGTTTTGCTGGCTGCGGGATCGATCTGGAGCTGGGAAAGAGTTAACCAAGAGAGAATAAAAGGGTTTTTTTTGGGGGGGGAGAGGGAGGGAGGGAGAGAAAAACGTTTGAGCTGACACTTCATCTGGGGAGGCGGATCCTCCTGATTCCTGATTGGCCTCAAGTTCCATCCCAAAACTCCACCACCCCCTCTTTCCCCCCCCCTTTTCCTCTCCCCCCCTCCCCAATTCTCCTCCTCCTCCTCCTCCTCCAGCTCTCTGCTCCCCGGGGAGGAGAATGCAGAATAGTGAGCGAGATCAAAAATAAACCTCTTATGTCAAAGCAGAGGAAAGAAAGTATAAATACCGGAGCTCTTTGCAGCTTGCTTTGCAAGGAGTTTACTCAGGGAGAGCAAGCGCTCGTCCAAGGAAGGGAAAGAGGGAGGGGAGGTAAACTCAAAGGGAGAAAGAGAAAAGAAAGAGAGAGAGAGAGCGAGAGAGAAATTAGAATCCTCCAAGACGCTTTCGTCTCTGTGCGCTTTTCCCAACTGGACAAGTTGTGTTGCTGGTGCTGCTTCTTTCTTGCCTGGTTTTGTGACAGTTGTTTTTGCAAAAGTCCAGGAGGTCCTGAGGAAGCTGAGTAGGTGAAGAAATCACGGTTGGGGCAGAAAAGGATTTTTCACCCTTTGCACCCTGGGCAACTTTGCTGCTAACTCAGCTGATCCCTTATTTTTTTCCCGCCCTCTCTCTCTTCAACCTTTGCCTCGTTCTGTCTCTCTGCTTGATTCCTAGCCCTCCGCTTTGCAGGATTGCACCCTTATCTCAAGCCAGTTGGGCACTTGCTTCTCGGGTGAATCTCCACCTCTCTCTCTCTCTCTCTCTCTCTCTCTCTCTCTCTCTCTCTCTTTCTCTCTCTCTCAACTTCTCTTCTGCTCCTTCTCCAACTTCTAGCATCTATGCCACTTCCTCTTCAGCAGCAACCCTTCGCTAGCTGGAGGGCAGTTCTCTTTACGCTCTTCCCCTTCTTGCTGCTTCAAAATGCCTGGGTATTACCTCTCCAGAATAGCGAAGACGTTCAGGAGGTGGTGCCCGTCTGGGGAAATATGCCTCTGGGCAGGGGCAGGCAGGTATCCTTCTCCATCACGGCCTTTGGGAAAGTGCTCCTGCTGCAGCTGGAACCCGACGCCAGCTTCTTGGCTCCTGGGCTGAAGATTCAACATGTTGGTAGAAGGGAACCGGTTGGGTTCTCGACTGAGAAAGAGGAGGAGGAGGAGGAGGAGGAGGATGTGGAGCTCAGAAGATGCTTCTACTCAGGGACTGTCAACGCACAACCAGACTCCCTAGTGGCCATCAGCTTATGTCAGGGCATCCATGGCTCCTTCTTTGTGGATGGAGACAAGTACGTCATCCAGCCCCAAAATCGTGGAAGCAAGGATCCCCTGATGCAGGCTCATCAGATCCAGAAGAGAAGCTGGTCAAAAGAAGCTGCCAAGGACAGGCGAGGAGGGAAAGCCCAGCTGGAACCCAACAGCACCACCCTGCACCGAGCGAAGCGGTTCACCTCCCAGGCTCGCTATGTGGAGACCCTGCTGGTGGCCGATACCTCCATGGTCCAGTTCTACGGGCACGATCTGACGGTAAGGGAGATGCTTTTCTACTCCTCCTCCTTATCTTCCCAGGCTCAGAACTCAGACAGTGCATGCCAACTGTTTAGAGCAAGAAACGGGGCATTCTTGTTGCATGATGTAGTAGGCCACCTTGATGAAATGCAGCCGCGTGTTATAACCGTGGTAAGCCCTCCAGATCATCGGTCTTGAATTCGCAAAGCAGTCTTCAGCCTCCCTTCTGTACTACGAGGGTAACTTTACAGAGCAGTTTTTGCAACTCACAAGAGAGCGCCTGAGATTCTCCAAATAGGAAAGGACTAGGTACTACCGGTAGTAGAAAAGGGAAAAGACACAAAGAGGGCCAAAGTGAAGGTATGGACAGGGTCACTGCAGGACAAATATGGTGTCTTTAAGCTTGCCTTTTATAGAAGAGCAGAATTCTCTATTAACGGAGGCTCGGAGTAGCTAGGGAACAAGGATGCCTCCCATGTGCTGTAAAAACCTAGCCGCATTTTCTTCCCAGTATGATGTCATTGCATCCTGCATTCTCCTTCTCCTGACTGGCATCCCTGGATGAGGCCAAGCGACATTTCGGATAAAGTCACACGTATGCTGATACAAGTTACAAGAGAAAGCTTAACACCTAGATGATATTTTTTTGGCCGCAGTCCCGGGACTCCAGTAACGCTGAGTTCCAGCGTGACTATGGAAATTGGCTACTGCCTCAGCAGGTTGGCAGGAGAAAGAGGTCTGCATTTTTTAGCCAATTTCTATAGATATTCTGATTTGGCCTCCTGCTCCTTGTCCCTGGGGGAAAGCATCTAGTAGAAGCTGAAAGCCTGGTGTGTTCTTTAGCAGAAAGTTAGGACTCTCTTTTCTGTATGTCCTCTAAATGTTTACTTTTTAAAAATAGAAAGTCTACCTTTAAATTCTTCCCTTCCCTTCCCTAGCAAAAGACTTTTTAGATTTTGGGAGTCTGTATGATTGCACATTAATATAATACCGTTCAGTAAAATGTAAGATGGAATACTTTGATTTTCCTACACTTAAGGATCCGTGCTCTGTACTAAACTGCTGGCAAGAGAACTATAAAACAATTTAACATGATATGCATGTATGTGTCATATTTTGGTGTCTTCTGAATGAATGCAAGATCTTCCATATTGGACAGTTCAGGGTCTTCTTGCTTAATCCTTGGCAGATTAGAAACATTGCTTAGCTTGTTTGGGAAGAAGACAAGTCTAGACACCCAACCATATGTTAACTTTCAGATCCTGGAGAGTATGGTTTGTTTTGTGTCTGTCTGTCTGCCTCTGAGAGAGGGGGGGGGGAGAAAAAAAATTCTGCTTATTTTTTCAGATCCCTGAAGAAAATATTAAACCTGAGTAACCCCATGCCAGTTTCCATGAAAACTTGAATTTGAATCTACTAGCTCTAATTGGAAAAGTGTTCCACCTTGAATTTATGTCCAAAAATGCTCTGACTGCTATGTTTCAGAGAATAAATTAATCTGTTAAGGACAGTAGATGAGAAGAAGGAGAGAAACTGTTTCGTGCAAAGTCTTCTAAGTGCATTTGCAAAATGTATTGGATTTGCTTAACGTCCGTTAAAAGATTTTAGGATGAAAATAATCGGGGATGGTAGACATGATCAACTAGCGAAAATTAAATAAAAAGAGCAGCTGAAGTATGCATTGTCGTTCAGTTTAGCAATGGAAATAGTGTTTGGTGTGTTCAGGGGTTTTGTTGTAACTCTGCCCTTCCACTTGACTATCATCTTAGGACATACACCTTCTTTAGCACGTGACTTGGGATGATCAATATATGATCCCCAAACTAAGCGTGTACGGAAGCCGTGCATAAATCATATAATGGATGAAAGAGCATTTTAAGTATCAGCATTTGTTACATGAAAGCAATGAAACTTGGGAAACATGGCCATTTATGTAGCATTCACATAAGAATTGCTCGAGCTGCACTGGCTGCCGGTGGCCTTCCGGGTGCGCTTCAAGGTGTTAGTAACAACTTTTAAAGCACTCCATGGCAATGGACCTAGGTATTCGCAAGACCGCCTCCTACCAAACACCTCCCTTCGACCAGTCCGCTCCCACAGAGAGGGCCTCCTTAGAGTGCCGTCGGCCAGACAATGCCGGCTGGCGTCCCCCAGGGGGAGAGCCTTCTCTGTGGCAGCTCCTGCCCTCTGGAATGACCTACCCCCCAACCTACGTACAGTTGCGGTCCTGCGCCTTTTTCGCCGAGCCCTGAAGGCCCATCTATTCTGTGCGGCCGGCCTGGCGTAGTTTGATTACGTTTTAGTGGGGGTTTTGTATGGGGTGTTTTTAGAACAGGCCTGTTATTTAATTTGATTTTAGAACAGAAACTTGTGTATATTTATCGTGGTTTTTAGTATCGCCTGTTCACCGCCCTGAGTCCCGTAAGGGAGATAGGGCGGTATATAAATTTAATAAATAATAATAATAATTAACTTCAACCCATTACTGAGTTCCCTCCTACATCTGACCTTGGATTAGCACAAAACCAAGTAGCTGTCCCCACTGCTTTTATTATGTTTGTTTTGAGTCACCCCCAAATGTTGACTTGTTCAACAACCCATGACCAAAAAAACCCCCCATACGTGAAGCCCATTGCTGATTAAACCCATATTTGCTTAGCTTCCTCTTAGCTCAGTGGTTCTCAACCCATGGGTCGCAACCCCATTTGGGGTCGATTGACCATTTCACGGGGGTCACCAAGCAAGGCTGTCCGCCATTTTTTTCCCCTTTTCCGGCGGGTGCCTTACCTCCCTTGGGCTGGGCCAGCTGATGGTCGGCCTGCTCCGTCTCTGCCGCTTGCCAGCTACGCCTCGGCCGGCACAGGGGGTGGAACCACGCATGCACGGCGCTCCCGGGCAGGGAAAGTCCTCGACTTACGATCGGTTGGGTAGTCCTCGACTTACGACCGGTTTAGTCCTCGACTTACGACCGGTTTAGTCCTCGACTTATGACTGGTTTAGTCCTCGACTTACGACCGGTTGGGGTCGCGGCATTAAAAAGGTTGAGAACCACTGTCTTAGCTGATATCATGTTCCTTCAGTCCATTCAAACTGCCTATCAAGGCTATTTAATCCATTCCTCTGTGGTTCACTGGTTATACACACAGATGCAAATTTCATTTTTAAAAATTACAACTAAAAACAATAGATGGAAACATTCCGGGAGATTATGATACATAAAGGCATACATTTAGAACTCTCGCAGCTGCCATTTGGCAGAAGTAAGCTAACACAAGGGACAATTCCTGCCACACGTTTTCAAGTTTCAAATGACACACAGTCTAAAGAGAGACCTCAGTTCCAGAGAGGGACAATCATCTTGGTATCTGGAGGCACTCCTGTGTGTGAGACCCTCTGCAAATCGGCGCATTCTGTGTTCTTGACAATGCATATTTGAAACTCAAAATAATTGTATGTCAATAAAGATTCACAGTCATCCAGGTAAAGTTGTCTGAAAGTTGAGTTCCTTGGATGAGCAGCAAAACGTCTCAAACCATCAAGAAATAAGTCCAGTTCCCATGACTCGACTGTCAGTCCAAATTATAAGACAGGTGGGGGCTCTGTGGTTGCTGTCTGTGGTTTTTTTTTGCAGTTGTGGTTTTGTTTTGTTTTTTCTCCTGTTCCCCTGATTCTGAAAACTAAGGATGCTCTTCTAGATATCTATGGAGATCCTCAGTCATCCAGGTCATGGTTGTCCTAAAGGTGCTTTTTCAAAAGGCAACTGGACTTTGTTTTTCTTTGGACGATGCTCTTCTAGGTATCTGCAGCTGGAATATCAGCATCCAATGCACCTTTGCTAAGAAATTCACAGTAATTTAGGACAGGAGATTTTTTTCTCAAGCTCTGCCGGAAAAGTGATTGCCACAGACAGCAGCCACGAAAGCCCCCCCCCCCCCCCCCCGCTTGTCTGCCAAAGAGCTGTTGGCTCCAGGACTGCTAAGGTTTTCCATCCTTAACCTGCACAATGACTTTAAGTTTTGTGGTGGATGTAAGTGTGTCCTGTGCCTGCAGATGGTGCCTTCTTAGCCCTCCCACCTGTTGAATGCCATCAAGAACGTGCCGTTTCGTTTTGTTTTGTTTTTCCCCAAGAAACAGGATCTGCACTTGATCTGGCACACTGAGGTATGAGCAGAACACCTCATGCTCCTGCAGCCTTCAAATTTAAAGAGCACGGTCCCTGACTCCAGCCAGCAACAGTATCAAGCTACTCGGAAAAATATAGCCAATGTTCTTCCAGGATCTGTGAAAGCTCTGTCTTCTAGACGGAGACATAGTGTTAGAGCTACGCTGTTCTGCCAAAAGTGCTCTCCTTTCTTTATTCCCAGCGTCTTAAACTAACCCTAGGGTAAAATGAGCCTCCACAGCCACGACTCATTGCTTCCTTAATTGTTTTTTTCTTCTTTTTTTAGAAACAATTTGCAGAGTACATTATCATCACTAAGGCTTGGTTGTAAACTCTTGGTGGTCTGCCACCTCTTTTCTCTGACCGCCATTAGACTTTAACAGGTGTCTCAGCCACTGCCAGCAATTCAGCAGGGAAAACTTCCCCAGCCACAAACGTGCAAATGATGCAGAAAGAGGGGAACCTCGGAGCTGTCCGAGTTTTGTTGTTTTCTTACAGACATTTCATTACCCAACTAGGTAATGCCATCAGGGCATCCAGCTTCCTTTGTGCCAAGGCAGGACTAGAAATCACCAGTCTCCTGGTGAATGGCCCAAAGTCATCCAGCTGCTTTTGTGCCTGAGGTGGGACTAGAACTCACAGTCTCCTGGTGATTGGCCCAAAGTCAGCCCATTGCTTTTGTGCTTAAGGAGGAACTAGAACTCACAGTCTCCTGGTGATTGGTCCAAAGTCACCCAGGTGTTTTTGTGCCTGAGGGACTAGAACTCACAGTCTCCTGGTGATTGGCCCAAAGTCATCCCATTGCTTTTGTGCCTGAGGTGGGACTAGAACTCACAGTCATCTGGTGATTGGCCCA